CAATAAACTCTAAACTCAATGAATATTCTATGTGTGCTGGTTAATAGAGCATTCTGGATTGAGTCCATTAGAATGTGATTATATGTGGGAAAGTATATACGCCCTGTAGGTGATGCATGCAATTAGTAAGGTGAAAGCAGCATGTTATATATCAATATAATGTATATTTACATATAAAAACAGACTGACTTTTTACTAAAAAAATCTATAAACCAATTACTGTTTTTGTCTATATAAATTGCTGGTTTTATTTTATTTTATTTTATTTTATTTTATTTTATTTTATTTTATGTTTTGTTTAGGAGTACATGTCTCTAGAAGCACATAACTCCAGCAACAAAGCTAATCTAAGAGTAATACCCAAGATGCCTCCTACCTTGCAAATTTCAAGGAATTTCTCACTGGTGTATTTCATAGGGTGCTCAGTGAAAGTAGCATAAGGAACTTCAGTAGACCATGGGTTCCAGCGGGACAGTAGGGACTGCTCCTCTGGACTCCCCCAGTAGATCCTAAGGCCTTCTCCTTGTCTCCTACAAGAAAGGGGTTTTCCATTAGATTAGTCATTTCCATTTCCAAAAAAAAAAAAGATAAAAAATGGAATGTAATCATCAGTCCGCCTTCATATTGCTGCTAAGTGGCTTAACTCCCAGCTAGTTAAACTGTTCAAAGGATTTTAGGGGGTGAGAAGAAAAAGGTGAATTTGGTTTTAAACATAGGAAATTCCAGGTGTTTGGAGGAATTCTATGTGGGAAACACCTACTTGGAAATGTGAGTCTGATACTCAGAACAGTGGCCAGAGCTGGAAATATGGATATTGACATCACGCCAAGATTCTGATGGTAAGAATTAAGAGAGAAAGAGACGAGGTATCAAAGAGGTGAACAGTAACGGAACAGTTCAGATGGGAGACAGTTTCTAGAAGAAAGGAGATGCCATGACAATAACAGTTTCCACAAAAGCAAGAACTGACCAAGAAAAGACATGGGGCTTCTCGCATGGTAGAACATACATGATTTTTGAGGGAGATGATGACCAACTCAAAATGTTCTGCGACATCAGATTCTGAATCTCATTGTCCTCTATTCTCTGCACACATTCCATTCAGTGAAATTGCAGCAACAAACATGTCAAAGCTTGTAGAAAGACTGTGCCTGCCCCTTCCTGTTAAGTTCATAGTCTTAATCCACAAGATGTGGGAGGAAGTCACTCGCATAACCCAGGCCTGGTCATTTAGTGAACCTAAGTGCAGAGCAAGAGAAAGTAAGCTTGAGACAACAGGGAGAGGACTCATGGCAGAGGAGTTGCAGCCACACTGAATAACAAAACCGTGTTTCTGAGGCCTCTTTCGCATGTGTCCATCAGAATTTATGATTTGTGGTTTTAGATATCTCTGAATGCAAAGAGATGCCCGGAGGTTAAGCCAAACTCAGGTACCTTGCATTCGACAAGCTTGGAAACTAAGTTGCCTGTAATTCTAAGCAGCCCTATGGAACATCACAGATGTCTCATTTTGTCTAAAAATTAAATCCTGGGATTTCTGGAATGAAAAATCAGAGCTTAATTGTGGTGCCTTCACAAAACTGCCACTTCCTGTATTAAGGAAGGATTCCTTCGGGAATGCTGTTATGGTTTCTGAATGTTTATCCATGTGGAGATTGTATAAGCACAATTTCATACAAATGCATATAACACTCCACTCCCCAATTGGTTAATACCTTAACTTTTCTCACAAAAGGAAAGTAAGAAAAGTCCCTGAAATGTTCTGCTGGCTAGTTCTCAGATTTTTGATGATTATATTTGAAAACTGATACCCTCCTTTCTTTTTGTACTTAATCCTTTGCCCAAGAAGAAAAAAAAAAAAAGAAACCAAACAAACAAACAAAAAAAGAATATAGGGGGAAGAAAAAAACAGAGGAAATAAAAATATTGAGAAGAATAGAAAAATAGAAGATAAATATACCTCTAAAATTTTCTTTCTCCCTCTCCTTCTCAGCTGGCATGCTGGCATTTATTATCCCCCAGCACTTACTTTTCTGGCCTGACAATAAACTCTAAACTCAATGAATATTCTATGTGTGCTGGTTAATAGAGCATTCTGGATTGAGTCCATTAAAACAACTTGCACAATGGAATTATTTACTGCTTCATATGTCAATTTATGTGCTGGGTGCAATTTTGCTTTTATCCAAAGGGGATGAAAATCTGCCAAGAGAGCTTGCCTAATAAGTACACATTATATTCTTCTACCTTAGGGAAACCTCAGATTAAGTTTGAGCATGAAATTCACGAGCGACCCTATTTCTAAATAACCAGTCAATCTGAGTATAACAAGGACCTTTCTCAGAGATGTTGTACACTTCCAAATATACAAGTTCAACCAACCTTCTTTCCTGAGCTCCAGAGGTGAAAACTAGGAAGATTAATCTAAAGCTAAGTTATCTCTCCAAGGGTGGGGTTTCTCAGGCCATCCAGCAGAGCCGTTCGTATCAGAGTGCTATGAAAGACTATCATCTTCTTTTTTGTCAAACACCATTAGAACAGTCGTGGAGACTGCAGGTGCCTTTATGACCAGAAATACTTTTTTTTAATAGTAACTTGTAGTCACATGAAAGAAATCCTGGGAGGTAACAGAGTGGAGTAAAAGTGAGGTGAGCTGGATGTCCAGGAGTCCTGTGATACAGTCTCGATTTTGACACTTAATGTTACGCGACGATGGGCAAGCTTATTTCTCTTTCTGAATTTCTTTCTGAATCTGAATCATTTCTCTTTCTGAATCTTCTGAATATGTCTTCCCATATTTAGAAAAAATATGACTTCCTCATCTCTTCTATAGAGTGTCTCTATATTGAGACATTCTGTGACCTCAGTCACTGTGTGAAGAGTGGAGGCAGCTACGGTCATGACGCCAGTAACAATCATCTGGCTGGGTACACACAACATCCATAAGCGGTCTTGGGGTATGAATTCTGTAGTTTAGAAGCATCTAATTAGCCCCACTGAGCAGAACAAGTCCTCTACTGCAAAGGTCACACCAAGTACTATCCTATCATTCCAAGGGGCTTTCAGGACCTACCACAACATTCTACAAACATGGAAAAGCTATTTCTCGGTGGAATTGCAGATAAGGTGTCAGAGCTAGAAGGGCTCTTGGAAGCCATAGCCTAGTGCTTCCTTTCTGTAGATAGAAAAAACTAAGACTCAGAAAGTACCAGAACTTTCCCAAAGCATCACTACAGGACAGGGATGAGCTGGCAAGAGTCCTGGTTTCCTGAGACCTCATTCAGGGGTCTTTTCACTATTCTGGGCTAAGGTACGAAATATATTCAAAGCTAAAGCCCTGCTATTGCATAACATTGCCTTATTTCCAATAGACACAAAGTTAAAAGAATTGCTCTAAGGAGGCTGCCATCATTCATGGGTGGAAAAGCCTGCCTAGGGATCCGGTCAGTTATCAGAAGAAAAAACCTCTGTCTCAAAGCCAACTATGCATTCTTAAATATACTCAATATGAGCAATTTTGAGACTATAGGAAAATAAGCACTGGACGTGAAGGAGACAATTACAAACAAGTTAAATTGTCAGGGTAAGAAGACTGGGTCTTTGGCCAGGTGCGGTGGCTCATGCCTATAATCCCAGCACTTTGGGAGGCTGAGGCGGGTGGATCACCTGAGGTCAGGAGTTCGAGACCAGCCTGGTCAACTTGGTGAAACCCCTGTCTCTACTAAAAATACAAAAATTAGCTGGCTGTGGTGGCAGGATCCTGTAAATCCTACCTACTTGGGAGGCCGAGGCAGGAGAATCACTTGAACCCAGGAGGCAGTGGTTGCAGTGAGCCGAGATCATGCCACTGCACTTCAGCCTGGGCAACAGAGCAGAACTCTGTCGCCAAAAAAAGAAAAAAGAAGAAGACTGGGACTTTCTCACTGAGCTGCTATGATGGGTTAATTAAAGTCCCAAGTAAAGATTGCCAACACCAAATAATCAAGAAAATAAGTATTTGGAAGTTTTCTTTCTGTAATCATACTCGGTATAAATCATGACTTTCACTAGCTCTGTGTCTTTGGGCATTTCACACCACCTTTCTGATCTTTAGGTCACAATAATTTTGTGAAAAACAAGAGGATAAGGAATGATAAAAAGTTTTGTTTCTATAAGGCACTGTCCCACTAGTGTATATCGAGTGTCTACTGTGTACCATACTACCCACTCTGTACTGTTAGAGATCTTATATTTGTTCTTTTATTTAACCCATATGGTAATTTTGAGCTATTTTTGAGGACATAGATGTAGTTACAGGAAGTAAGTTAAAGAATATGACCAGATTTAATCAGATCATCAAGTCAAGAACCACTAGTGAAATGTAATTTAAAAAAGGGACAGGGAGAGGAAAAACACTGGAATCACTGGACATAAACAAAACCAGAGAAGCAAATCTCTAGCACAGAGGAAGTGTTGGGATGTTTTATGTTTGTCTTCACCTATTGAACCCTCTTCCTCTACCTGTGTCTGGGTCCAAGGATGCTTCTTTTGTGTTCAGCTTCTGCCTTCCATCAATGTTTTCATGTGTAAGATTTCTGCTTGAATTTAAATCCATCAGAAATACTTCCATTCAGATAGCTTAAACAAGCTCTTCAATTCTCTTTTCTTCAGTCTGAATAAGCCTAACTTCTTAATTATATTTTCTGATGGGTTAAAAATAATCTTTTAAATCACCTCAGAGCTGATTCTCTAAAACATTCCAAAGTTCTCTATTTTCATTTCCATCATTTCCTTAGCACAGTCTCTATGCAGGGTATACAGAAATGAATAAGACTCAGTGCCTGAACTCTGTAAGTCCATGATCTGACAATCCATGAGCCGATTTTACTATCAATTTGTTCCCAGACTTCAAAAAGCACAAATAGAAACTTGCAAGTCTCATTATAGAAATAGAGGATCACTTATTACAATTTTTCCCACTTTCTATCCTCAAGGAAACCAGCTGGATCTGGCCTCCATTCCCACAGTAGTGGAAGTAAGAAGGGCAATGTACTCTACTTCTAGTAAGTTCCAAAGCCTCCCAGAAAGAGGCAGAGGCAGGGGAAGGGTCCCATATGGACTTGGCGGAAGAAGGTTTGTAATAGTCACGGATTTTTAGGATTCTAAGCTATCTGAGTTGGAAGGCCTTTTGGAGAGGTCAGATTCTACTGCTTTTATTTTAGAGATATGTAACTGAGACTAGAGTTTTCAAAGATCGCAGTTCTTACTTTAGTCATGTTAATTACAAGTTTCACTCAGCGACTCAGATTCAGAATTCTACTCAAACACCGTTGTTGGCAGGATAGAAGAGCAGAGCAATTACTACTTTAAATCATCATAGCAGACCAATGGAAGTTTTACTTTCTACACAAAAAACAGCAAAGACATGCTGAAGGGGTGAGCTTTACACAGTAGAAACTGCTCGTACTAGCGGCAAAGCACACAGTGGTGAAAAACAAATAGGGCTTAACAACACAAAAAGTGGCTGCAGGTTGGAAGAAGGAAAAACATT